ATATGTAAATTATTATATAAATTTTTATAAATTTTCTCAAAAGAAATTAATTTAAACTTTTCTTTTAAATCTAAACTTTAGCTCAATATATTTTATCTAGAACATTTCTAATTAATAAATTATTATAAATACTGTACTGTATTGTACCGCACATATAAGCCTAGATTAGGACAGCAAGGATTTATACTTTATTTAGCAAAAATATTTCTATAAATTTTATAATTTACATTCAGTGAATATTCTTTTATAACTATTTCGCTTTTCAATACTTTTAAAAGAAACTTTTGTTTAAAAAATTACAATATATAAATTCAAAGATTAACAAGGAAATTTGTTTGATAATAGACGTGATCCTAATTTATTTTTCCCGTAGGAAAGTGCAAAAAGAGGATTATTATAACTGGATCATCTCATTGGGAGGCCGCATAATCATTTGAATAGGCCTGGCATTTAAGGAGGCTTTAAAAACATTTGTTATAAATTCATCATTTTATCGCATTTCTTGTATATTAAGAAGTAATATTTACATTATTTTCCAAATGTTATTACTGTATTTACAAAATAAATAAATTTAACTCTACTTTCTTTTTTTATAAGGGCCTCAAAAAGAGAAGTAACCCAGACTCTCTCTATCTTTGAGTGGTTATAACTCTTCCACTAATGTGTTTAGTAAACATTTTAATAGGATTTGACCATCAACATTATTAATAAATTACGTATTCGAAATAATTCTATTTTACTTTTACGTTAAATCTTAATATTTGCGTTATAATTTTAAGCAATCTTTCTCCTATTATAATTTTTTTTCCTCCCTAAGAGTTTACATTTTTCAAGCGTCAACTTAACTATAAAAATTAACAACGTTTAAACATTTTATTTAAATTTAAATTTTAAAACAATTTTAAAAACCGATTCCGAAATTCATTAATTAAGTAGCTATATAAAAAAATATAAAGAATTTTGTAAAACTTTTTTACAGAATTAATTTGCGAGTCAATGACAATTTAAAACTGTGGGATTAATTTAGAAACGAATAACGAACGATTATTAAGCAGCAGATTAACACAAAAGATAAAAAACGAAACCTTGTAAGTGTACGAATATGAGTTATTTATCGCTTTGTTTCCGCCTCGAGTATAATCGGATATGGACTATTGATTATAAAAATTGATTTTTATGTAAAATGAATCGGTCCTAAATCGTTTCTAACTGAAGGAAAAATAATTATGGAACTATCATTTATCTTTCGCTTTTAATAGACCTATATAGGCCTATGGTCAAAGCCATTTTGGATACGCTCCCTCAGAACATCGACATTAATTTTAACTACAGGAGTTGATTGAATACACCAAAGATTTTAAATGTCCCCAGAGGTAAAAATACTTACGATTCAAATCTGGCGATCGGGCAGGCCATGCAATGGATCCCCTCGACCAATCCATCTGTTCAGAAATTGGTTACCGAGATACTGGCAAACTCTCAGAGTAAAGTNAATGAATCGGTCCTAAATCGTTTCTAACTGAAGGAAAAATAATTATGGAACTATCATTTATCTTTCGCTTTTAATAGACCTATATAGGCCTATATTGGGTCTCCGAGTTAAGAATTTAATAATAAAGTTCCTTTCTTTAACATTACTTTATCACGAGTCTCAATTATGAGAAACAATTAATTAATTTACACTAAATAAAAAACAATAAAATTATATAATCTAATTAAATTTTAATAAATTATTTAAAAATTATAATAATGAAATTCATTAAAAACTTAATTTCAATTATGTTTCGAAGCTATCGTGTAGCTTAGATATACTTTCAATTTAATAAAATAAAATCGAATTTAAATATTACATATTAAAATTACGTTGAAAATAATGAATTTAACTTTGTCAAAATATTTTTTACATCTTAAAATGTTTAATTTTATTTTATTAGCACAAAGCGATAAATAACGATAGATATGAACGAAATTTTATGGTATGACTCGTGAAAAGATTAAGATCTGTGGGTCTAGTAAGGATTCTAGATAAAGTAGATTTTTCTAATCACGCTTAATTCAATTCGCTTATCGCTTCTCGTCTAAAAATTCATCAAAATTTTACTTTTTCTTTGTTTTTTATTTTCTGTATAGAACTAAATACATAAAAATTCTACACGGATAAAATTACATAAATTATTAAAATCGTTTAAGGTTAAATTTTAAAAAGAGTTTATTAATCTAGTTTGACAACCCTTACTTAATTACTTACCTAAATAAAAAAATCTTAAATGACAGGTTGGAATCCGAACCCGATGCATAAGGGGCTGAGCTAAACAAACTATAACTTAGAAACTCATTCTATGAGACTATAAATTAAGACCTCGTGTTTTTAATCTTAGTCCTATTATTTTCGCCCGATTTAGAAAAATTATGAAATTATTCATAATTTAAACTAATAGAAGCTCTAAATAACAATTTTCAGCTTATAACATTTACATTTTAAAAGACAAAATTTAAAAAAATATCTTGAAATGAAAGAATAATCCAACTTATCTCACGAACGACTAAACTCTGTTTGAAAATCCGCACAACACACAAAAATCATTAAAACTGACCAATGAGGAAAATCGGATCGGACGGACGAAAGCTGAGATCCAATAGCGCGTCGTCAGGTAGGTGTGATTTCGAGTAACTCCGCCTAAATCCGACTTACAACGTTAGCAATTTTGTAATCAGCTCAGCGGCAGTAGTAAGCTCCTGGGATTAGCAGACTGATGCTACCGGGTTAGCAAATCTTTAACTAGCCTAGTAAAAAACTAGATAATCATTTTATGAATATGTCATTGCCTTGCGGATACGGTTTCCCTTCGTATCCGTGTTGTCTTATGTCGGAAGTACTTAAGTCTCCAACTTTAAATCGTTGTCAAACATATAATTCTGTCATCTCTCAATCGAATAGTGATGTTAATAACAGGCCTAGTTTATTTACTATCGACAGCATATTAGGAAGATCTTCACCACCCGTTATAGCACCACCTCCCGTTCCTCAACATCCATCTTTCCATTCGGTCTGGAGTCCGGTTTTGCCATTACATTTTCATTATCCCGCCGCAGATTTTTATGGTAAGTTTTCATACACTTTACTTCTTTAAAATTCAAAAAATTTGACTGAATTCTATTAGTTTATCTTTTCTTTATTATTGCTTTCATTATTAAATTACGAAATTTAAAATGTAATTAAACGAACTTTAACTCTTGTCCTTTATATAGTATACAAACGTGTTTGAGTTTTTGAAGTTGAATATAATCTTAAACAATCTTTAATTTCGATTTTATTATTTAATGAAACTTAAAATAGATTTTTTACTTGTTAAATATCGAAAACTTTATATTTGTTACGTGTTTAAAAGCCAAACTTCGTGCCAAATTAAAGATATCGAATGGTCACAATATAACTTTATGTAGTTTCAATATGTTAAAAATTATACAAAGTTTCCTATCACGAAGTATACTTTCATAATTACAGATGAAGTATAACAACAGCACTATACGGTTTCAGATATTATAAATTTAAACTTTGAATATCGAGACTCATTTAAAAGGAATTCTGATAAGTGTTTTCTGTCTGGAACGATTTTTAAAATGAGAAAAACTAAACAAAACGAATTAATAAAGTTTAATAACATTGTTTAGGTTCTCCTCAGCCGTTGTTACCACATTACGTTGCATCTCAGTCGTCGTTGCTGGGTGCAACGGCTCAGGGGCAAAGAAGAAAAAGAAGACATAGAACCATCTTCACAGAAGAACAATTAGAACAGTTAGAAGCTGCATTCGACAAAACTCATTATCCCGATGTTCTGTTAAGAGAAGAATTAGCTCTTCGAGTTGATCTGAAAGAGGAAAGAGTTGAGGTATGACTTTTATAAAAATTTATTACTTTAAATCAAGAAAGTTTGGAAAATATAAAATTTCTTTCATAGTTTCTGTGCAATAACATTCGTAACAGATAAATTGTTACTGTTCAATTTTTTGTTTTTTATATACCATTTCCTTATAAAATTCAGTTTTATAAGTTATTGACTAATTAAATTAAGGTAAGAAATAAGTTTTCAATTCAGACAGTAAAAATAGGAAAATAAATATGTTTCATTCTGTTTATTTAAGGCCTAAATTATAACTTATAAAAGGATAAAAATAATATAAGTTAGTGCTAAACTTTTTGTGCAGTACAGTACCTCTCACAATGCTGAGATTTTTAAATTTAATTTCAATCATAATTAGTTGATAAAGCCTTTAAATTAAAGTCTGTACTATTCCATAAAGTTTAATAAATGAATTTTAGGAAGTTATAATGAATTAGGCTAAACCTCAATCTCTCAACAACACAAATACATTTTTGTATTAACTACATTCTTTCAAACGATTCTTTAATTTTAAATAAACGTTATTATTTTTTATTAAAGGAAATGCCTTTCGGGTCTTAAGTCCTTAGACTCTACAGAAAAAGACTTTATTATGTTATAAATCTTACTTCAGAGTTCTAAAGTCAGATTTATAGTTTAGAATGTGATTCATTCTTGTTTTTAATTTAGCCTATATTCACTAATCATAGGCCTAAGGACAAATAAAAACAATATTTAAATAATATTCTACTTCAGAAAATATTTCAAAGGAATAATCAAGAAAATAAAATTATTTTGATCTGTATTTGTTATTTAAGCATTTAAGTTTATTGTCTACGCGTGTTTTTTAAATTATGCTGCTAAATAAATCAAAGTTTACTCATCAGAATCAAGTAGCGTTTTTAATTTTGTATATGCGTAATAGGTAGATCTACAGGTGTTTGTATAATATAAAGACTGCATCTGTTTGTTAAATTTTTAATAGAAATTTCATGAAAAGTGTTACCTGTACGAGATATTCCATATACAGGCCATATAAGTTTTGAAGTTCCTAAATAAAAAAAGAGTAAGAATTTCTCATTTCTAAAAAACATGCTCGAACTTACTCGCTAAGTACAGTATACAACTGCTGAAAATTACGTGATAAATATAAGATAAGCACATTTTTATATACAAAATAGGTTATTCTAAAACTTAGACATTTATTCCTATCATATAAATAAACTTCGGCTTTACGTTATGTTTAAAAAGTAAATATTGTCAAATTAAAGTATAAATTTTGCAGGATTTATCGCTATGTTATTTACGAGTTCAGTTAGACTATTATATTCAATCAGCGTTAAATACTTTACGAAATGTCGTCTGCACTTAGACAAATATAAAAAAAAAATTATTTAAAAAAGGATTTATATTTCCATGATCTAATTATCTTCGATCTGCCTTTGGCTAGCAGACAAAAGACGAATGCGTCAGATTGAACAGTTCAATTTGCTGGGTACAGACATGAGAGGACCGTGGCTATTGTGCCCAAGACACTCCCAATTGATAGCGTAACGGTGATGTCCTCCACGTCTTCACCAGCACACTCCACTACTTTTCTCATTCACGTCTTGTGACGCTTCTGACGATTGGCCGAGTGTCCTCGTGACGTCAAGAGGCACGGAAGTAGTAAGCGCATACACTTGAAAATCGTTCTAAATTCACTGCTTACAAATTGACTCTAATGTAATGTGTGAAAAGATGGAAATGCATTAAAACACTCCGCCGCTCACCCTCGTAAAGCTTGTCCCGTGCCATAACTCTTTCTGTACTTATTCAAATAGCGATTCGAACCTTCACTCCGTATAGGATGAAATATAAAGTAAATACAATTATGATATAAAATGTAAAGAATAAATGATTTAGGCAATTAAACGATTTTACGATCACAAGTCATCCTCTGCGATACGCCTAAGATATCAATTTTAAAATGGGTCTATTCAATTAGGGATTGGTCGAGGAAACCGACGAAGACGTGAAAGATACGCCTTCTTTGTACTTATACACTTAACGAAATATTATTAATATAATAATAAATATTCTTCGGATTTAAAACTCTTTGTTATAAATGTTTTACTTATATTACAAAGAACCACTTATACATTTAACAATTCTTTAAATTCTAATTTTTATTGAATTCTTAAATATCATTCTTCAGAAGACAGTTTTTTCTGCCCGAGAACATTAATTTATACTCTATACTTTTAAAATTAACAGGTTTGGTTCAAAAATAGAAGGGCCAAATGGAGAAAACAACAAAGAGAAGAACAGGAGCGTCAACGTCACCTTCAAGAAGATTCTCTAAGACGAGATTGCGACGGACACGTAGCTTTAACATGGAACGACACAACCATAAATAACTGTCTAAGGCTAGAAGACGGGAAATCTAATTCGGCGTCACAAAAATGATCGAATTACTTGGAAGAATATTCTTTAAAATGCGCACAAAACAAACAACATTTAACAATTAAAAGATAAAATAAATTCCGTTATTAGACAAACTTAAAAGTTGGTCGAGTAACGGAAAACGAATGCGTTTTTTAAAATAAACTTATATAAAAATGGCGAAAGAGGAAGTCTATTGATGTGCAATGAATTTCGAGATGTACAGAATGCCTATGCACAATAATATAGGCAACAAATAAATAAATAAATAATTTTTTTTCTTAATATGGACCAATTTAGTAAATTTATGTTTAATGTAAGGTTTTATGAACGAGAAAGACCTTTATTCGTTGAAAATTGTACTGTGATAGTTCTTTTCATTGTTTAATTCCATGTCTGAGAGCAATCATTTGTATTTAAAACATCTTTAGACGTTTAATAAATGTGATAGAAACGAAAAATAATGTATTGAGATTATTTTATAAACTAAGAAAACAGATACAATTACATAAAAGTATGATTTTTTGCTTCCTGCATGTGTTAGAAGATATAGAAAATTTGTCACATTGTTATTTGACAGTAGACACGCGATACCGTAGAAATGCAGCAAACGTGGTGCCACACGACCTTTTATCATGCGATCACTTGTTTCTATCCGATCCAGGGCTCGTCCATATCGGGCTTCTATATGAGAGAACCTTACGAGAAGCCCGTTCAGATCGGATTCTATACAGCATATCCGGCTAAGTCCGTTCTGATTAAAGTATTGGTAATAGCTGTTTTAGAGATGTGGAAGCCACAAATGGTTGGTTTTTCCTCCTAAAAGAAATTCAATTACTGAATTATAGTATTGTAAGTAGTTCCTAGTCTCTAGTTTGACTATTTTTTTTACATATTACACTTCAATTTATTTACATTAAAAAAGGAGGAAAGTTTTATTTAGGCTTATGTAAATCGGTATCTAACGTGATCTAAATCGCTTTAATTGGTGTAGTAGGATCTACATATACATTTATTTTCATTGATCACTTATAAATTTGGTATTTTAGTGAATTAAACAGTTATAGAACGAAGACATTTTGAAAAATTAAGATCTATACCAGTAAACGAAATATCATTTTTTTCCCTCTCAATTCATAGGAGTATTTTCCCCTCTGATACTAAATTTAATACCAAAACTAGTTGTTTTACTTCAAATTCAATTATCAAAGCAAATTTTATATCAAAATAATAATACCATAAAACAATAGTGTTGTCATACACTATTGTTTTATGGTATTATTATTTTATATCAAAATAATAATAAATTTTAATTTATTCGTTTAACGTTTAGATCAAATTACAATTTCCAATCTAATATCGCTGGGTTAAAGCTGCGCTGTTAGCTTTAAAAATGATATCTTTAAACGGGAAAACGTAATAAAAAGATTAAAATGACTCAAAGTAATCAAAATCGAGTACAAAGCAAGCGATTTAACTTAAAGGATCAAATTAATTTGCAAAAAAATAACTTCATAAATCTTCAAAGAGATTTTTTGTTGGTACCAGACGACCACCTCGATTGATTTTTAAGGTCGATTCGCTTAATTTCTCCCCTTCGGATGAGTAAAACCGATTTAGAAGCTCGTCTCTATGTAGCTGTAATCGCTTCCGGATTATCAGCCCCTCATCCCCCTTACTAGAGTGAAGACTGTTGTTCATTTAGAAGGTTCGTAGTCAAAGAAAAGCGCAGATAGGGTGGTGTGCGGTCTGTTTAACACAAAATAACCTTTCACATGGTAATAGGCATCTGCTACGGCCTATAGGTATACGGCACGAGGTAATCTCTGCCCCGGGCCCGACTGCGCGCATTGTGTCGCCGGTAGAAAGCTGCTTACATCGGCGCTAACCGTGAAATGGCCGAGGCGGATAAGTGCAGCGATTAAACGATTCTTGCTTGGGCATAACTGCGTTTTCCAATAGCCACAGCATTTTATTTTGCCCTTTTGTCAGCGTTTTACGTCTTATTTGTTTATTCACCTGCTCGTTACAACTTTTTTCTTATTATAAGTGCAATAAAAGTTACTAAAATGCGCTCTTACGTCGAAGGATAACGCGCAGACAACACTCGACTTAATTCTCCCTAAGTTTTTCACATTAATAACTTACAAAAGACAAAACGCTTTACAAAATTAAGTAGAAATGTCAGTTTATATCCGTTTTTATTACCGAAACGGCGATAATATTTTGTCTTAGATTTACCGAAAGTTTTCTTTCGTTGGCAAAATTAGTCGCCTGTCTTCTGCGGAATGTCGCGAGTTTCGAGTGTATCGCCAAAACTGCTACGGAGCGTAATGGTTAACTGACTTTTGAACGATTCTATATTTTCCCGAAAAGGATTTCGTCAAATTTGAATTAAACTCGCAAGTCTGCCACAGTGTGACGTTTTTGTCATTTTTAATAAAAAGCTTCTTTACTTTTTATAAAAATTCGGCCTAAATTTTTATTTTAAAAATTATAAATTAAAACATTAGAATTGGAGACGAGAGAAAATGAAATGTTTATTTATCATAAAAGAAATAAATAAAGATTTTATGCGGTTATGCTCATTGAAATTTGATGGTTGAGTTTATTTAAGATTAAATTTATATGCCGCATTCTTTTAATTCAAATTTAATTAAAATTTTTCTTATTTTATAAATTGATAGATAAAACGATTTTATATTAATATTATTATTTTTTTATTTCGACTTTTAGCATAAAAAATTTTTAAAAAGACGTTTTAAACAAGATTAATTAAGATTATATAATTTGTAAAAGTTTATACGCTGTGCATTAGTAAAAGTTCGTGTTTTAAGTATTAAAGTTAATTAAATTATGAAATACGAAATAGAAGAATTAGACGGCTCGGCTTTCCTGCACTAGTCTAGTGTTTTAAGGAAAAGCCAACAGTTTTTAATGTTTTAAATTAATTTTTAGAAGCGAATTTTATAATTTAAAAACTAAAATCATTGGATGGGACAGAGTAGAATATGGTTAAGAATATTATTTCTATAAACAATTATCTCATAATAAGTAGATTATTATCTTATGATAATATTATGATAGAGTTACGTCAGCATCGTCCATCGACGATCATCGATTTCTTTTATTATCCAATTGGCATTATCAGATGTGCCACTTCAGGCTGACCGCAACAATCCAGACGTTGAATAAAAGAACCCGTCGACAGACGGGGATCTTGATCCTCGATTGTATGTAGGTGGTCCCGGGGCAGCCCAAGGGCAGTCTGCCCAGCCACGGGGAGGTAGGTTTAAGGAGATTTGTGTCATGTGCATGTGTAAGAGGAGATTAAGCTACATGGAAAACGATTTGCTGCAGCCTTTGTGCTATACTGATTTACTCTGAAAGCGGCAACCTTTTCAGCAAATATTTTGTAACAAATATCCATTCAGAATCTCCTTTTTCGGGTTTTCTAATGCAAATATTAAAATTTCTTCCCTCTGGGCTCGAACTTCGTTGCACTTTTTAAATCCTCGAAACTCTTCAAAGGTTCTTGTAAACTTCCACACGCTACGCCTCTTCACTTATGTAGAATACTTCATTTTAAGTTATTAATATTGTTTTAGAGTTGTTTTCTGACGAGTATTTTTATAAGTTTTTATATTTAATGATACGTTACATTACTTGTATGCGTTATAATATTTTTTTTTTAATTTTTATAACCGTTTTAAGGAAATATCTTTAAAAATTGTTTGCTTATCTATCGTTATATTCTTTATTTTAACGTCGTGTTCCTTTTTTATATTAATAAATTGGCATCTTATCTTCAAAATATAGTATTTCTTTCCGTACCTTTAAAACTGTATTGTTTTATAACCTACACAAATTATCAATTCTTAAAAATATATATTTTTTTTTAGGTAAATAGATTTATGTCACAAATGTCTTATAAATTAATATCCCTTAAAAACTCCTTCTTTAACTATAAGTGACTGCGCCGTAAGTTATTTACTATCATATCCTAAAAATATAAATTTATTATAAATTTTTATGCTTAGTGATATGACACATAACTTTCTTGTAAGTCTAGTCAAAAAACTTTTAGGTTTTTAAGGGAATATTCTTTATGGTTTGCTTATTAAAATATACCGCGTATTAAAATAATATCTCGTTCTTTGCTTATAACTAGGCATTACATTAAGAGTATAACGTAAACCATATCCTTTTCTAATCTATACAAATGATAAATTCTTAAAACACTCACATCTACGTTATATAACTGTTATAAGTTAGCATCTCCTAAAAATATGTTTTAATTAAGTATAAATGGCTGTTTAGAGTGTGAATTAACGCAGCGGGAAGAGTGGGGACTGTATAAAAGATAAATTAGATTTTGGAGGTGTTTCCATTCCGGGGACATTGTTATCTCTTAACCTATAGGGAGTGACACGGATAGAAGTCCTCCCCTGATATAGATTATCTTTCAGCGATCACTTTGGAACTCATTCGTCCGTGTTGCCACCTGCGGTTAAGTTTTGTGCTCGATTAGTTAACCTAATTAGATACCTCGACCCTTTTTCAATGTCTGAATGAGAGCGTAATACATTTTTCAGTTGATAGGATATTGTCACTCCCGGGGTTTAAGGCGAACTCTATGTCAATATGCCATAAGATAGTGGTCTAATTCTCGTTAAAAATTATCGAGTAAGCTCTAAACTCGTTATAAATTTGAAAATAACATCGGTTTTTATATTTTAATAGATAAATGCAATTTTAGTCAAAATAAAACAAACATTTTGTAACGCGACTTTACAATAGAGAAAATTGTACCGTACAGTACTGTACACGCATATATTTTAATTAATTGTTATATATTGATCTATAAAAGTTAAATAAATGTCTTTCTGTGCACAAAAGAATTAAAGAATTATTATAAATATATTGTTAGAATTAAAAATAAGAAAGTAATTTTCAAAAAAAGAAATAAAAACTACTTTGTATAGAGTAATTTTATGAATTATGCATATATAAATCGTAAATAT